ACCTTCTATCTTTGGAGACTCGTTTGGCACATCCCCGCCACCACCGGACACGCCCCATCTCCCCGCGCCCAACCAGCTCTTCTCCGACAAGAGGCCTTTCTCTGCAGGCGGCCGGCCGCCAGTCATCCCTGGTTCCTTGCAAAAGCTTTTGTACCCCTTGCCAAAGGATAACGCAGGACCTAAGGCATTGTTCGACCTGAGAGTTCCCGCAGCGTCTCCGGTACCCTCTGTACACACGCCTCCCGTCAAGTACAACAACAAGATGCCCAAGTTGCATATAGCTATGGACCTCGACGATAGCGATGATGAAGGTGCGAGCAAGAGCATGGGCGCGCAGGAGGCGTTCATGCGATCTGGAAATCCGTTTGGAGGCTTCGCGCCACCCACGAGATGTTCCCCGCTTCCCATCAGCAGCCCAATCGTGTGTCCTGGTATCTCACCTATGCCGCTGAGTCCGCTTGCCCCATTCTCCCCTTTGCCGCCTGATTCACCCGCACACAACGCACCCAATCCTATACACCCGCCTGTGAATCAACCGAGCTCTCGGCCGAATACTAATTGGTGAGTCGCACTAACTTGCTCGTTACTTTTCGCTTATTGCACGCGTATCAGTCGGCATAGGCTTTGATGTTTCAGGTACGGTTTGGGTTGGTTGTATGGTAGGGAGAGGGTGATTGGAATAGATTTTGTTTTGTTTTCATGCTTCTGTAGCTTTCTAGGTTTGTATCACTGGCACACGTTGTGAATATAAAGACGAAAGGCAATAAAAAGGGACCTGCGGCGAGACTGCACGACCATTTTCGGGCGGTAGTACACCCTCCCGCAATGCTTGACGCTTTTCATTTCTTCGAAACACCTCTTTGCGCCAACCCGTCTGTCCGTCTCGCCCTCTCGAAGGGCTTCCCTGTCGCCCCACTTTGCCGCAGTGTCCTTTTGCTACAGAACACTCATCGAGATCTATCGCTACCACCAGATCCTCCGTCATGCACACCCCCCACCTCCTTGGCTACGTGTTTAAACAGAATTAGATTACCAATCTCGCGTGCTAAACGCTTCGCACCTTCCGCTTGGGGCTTATTTTTTTTTTTTTCCACCGCGCAGCCGCCATCATTGGCACGACACATGTCAAAGATGTTGTCAGTGAGACTCGGATCGTTCCATCAGAAACGACGGCTGGGTTGAGCCAAAGACCGCTTTTTTTAAGACAGAGCCTCCTCCTTTCCGTAGGAATCTTTCGCAGAGTCCCCGCAGCTAGCCGCCGATGGAACGCAGACAGCGTCGAAGCACAGTCACCGACAGCGGTAAACCATCCTCCGGGGTTGCAGCTA